GTAATGGGTAATTTTGGAAGGTGTTGAAGTTCCTTGTAATGGGTAATTTTGGAAGGTGTTGAAGTTCCTTGTAATGGGTAATTGCTCTTGAGGTTATGTTTATAGTTGAAAATCATCTTTCTTTTTCTTTTTTTTTGCTATCTTGAGATATATTTGTATCTATACAAAATAATTTTTACGTTGTTGTTGTTTTCCGTTTTACTGAAAATATAGGATATTTATTTAATTTAATTTATTGGATATTTTTTCAGTTTCATTTATATGAATTATTTATACTTGCATACGGAGTGTGTGTAGTAGAGCGCATTAATTTTTCAGATGTTTAAGCATGAATTGTTTCATTTAGCATGCGATTTGTTTCATGTGTGAGCTTTTAGTATTTTTAATTATAAGGGTGGATTGTTTGTCCTTAATTTAGCAGTGATAGACTAGAGGGAAGACAACTAGTCATCAAAACCCAATGTCAACTCTTGGGGTACTCTTTTACCAACGAACAATGGGATTAACCATCATTTTATAACGCCCCGTAGCTGAAAAGGCGAAACTGTTTGGTGACGCGGATTGGAACCCACAGGTTGCGAGTCAAGCGTCTTAACCATTAGACCATTACAGACCTATAGAGGTGAATCACATCAATTTGCTCAGATAGGAGGGGATTCACTAAACGATGTACATGACTAGCTGTAACTAACTTGTTTAAATAATGTTGCCGTTGAATTCAGGAGGGTATTTTGTTCTTTCTTCCGTGTTATTTTATGAATCTAGGATTGAGAAGTTCTAAGTTTTGGAAACGAGAAATAAAATTGTAAAAAGTAAGTTCCGTGTTCTGAGATTGAAAGACATTCATGTATAACTGTAGAGTGGTCCGACGTTATCCAATGGTTATGATGTCTTTCTGTAGATCTGAAAGTCCATGGTTCACATTCCCTTGCCAGAAAAATAAGTTACGTACTTTGAAGCCGTGGGTGCGTTAAACATGTAACGGTTAAATTCTACCATTCGGTTAGAGTAGCTTTAAATTTAACGGTCAGTGCTGTTTACTAGCTGCCTTTACTCTAGTTTATCAGCTCTAAATTAGATACAACTAGTGCAAATGGCACTTGTGCAATTTTGCACAAATTTCCGTACAAACAAAATATCCAAATCTAAGCTGGGATATTTAAAAAAATCGAGTTGTAAAAGTATGTAATTTGAAAATAAGTACATATTTAATATACTGCATACTATAGATACCACAAACAATGGAAACATTCTTGGAACATAAAATGGCTTTTATATACCTTTACATATTTTTACATATACTGTTTTGCTAAATAATAATTACGCTTACAACAGTTATATTTTCCTAAACAACTTTAACTTTAATACAAAAAAGCTAAAAACGTTTGACTCAGTCTTCTAGAAGATATGTTGCAGATACAATGCCGAAGAACTATATTTAAAACTCACACTAATGTTTAGAAATCCTAACCGCATATTTGTGAAACATTCCACTTGTATAATGACATAAATCCTAATCACATGATTTGTAGGTAATTGCTTAAGTGCTATAAATACAAAGATATGATTCTATAATATTTAGTATGCAAGATAATGCTGCTAGAGCAAGAATCTCTCCAGGCTTCAAAACGGACATTATTTAAGATCTATCTCTAGGTCTTAACCAACGAAAATTCTTTGACTGACTACTCAAAAAACTGTCATCGGAGTTAATCAATAGGAGTTATCCGAAGGGAATTAATTTGTCATTATGATAAATTGTAGAAGAAGCCTTTGTTGTAAAACTGAGAGCAAACATGATTGAATAGGCTAGGGGAGTACAAGAGACATCATACTGTGTTCCTTCAACAGTGATCAGGGTTCGACGCAAATAATATTATAAAAACTGTCATGTGAAAGCAGACAACCAGTCTAAAAAGTTTTAGATTAAGTGATGCTTAGAGTTCAAACTGTGGACAGGTAATGTGCGATGTGGTCTGATAAATCGCTTTTACCATTTTCTATTGTGACAGAAGAGTAGAAATAATAAGAAAGGCGTAAAAGGTACATAATTCTGCTTGTGTTTGGTCCGGCACTGCAAACTACTGAAAGTGATGTCCGTAACGATCTCGGACTACCTGTTTTCTTTAAAAAGATGTTTAAGATACAAAATTGTGAAAAAACTTATTTTCAGTTATGTCCACCCCAACATTGCGATATTCCTCTCTGATGGACAAGATATTTCCCAAGACGATAATGCTTGTATAGACAACTATAAGCTAGTAGTATCTGACAGTGACCTTTTCTTCATTGGTCAGCACAATTATCGAATCTCGGTTCGATCAATAACCCTATGGACTATATTTGTGAACCAATTTAATAAATTGGTTTCAAACGAAAATGGCACCTTCCGACGTATGATAAAGTCTATGGCACACTAACTTTAAATTGTTGTCACGAATACACCTGGTCCAACCCGATATCATGTATATGACTTGATATCAGGCACAATGTATGTTACTTAAAAATTGCTAATTCCTATTACTGAGTATGGACAAAGAGTGGTATCAACACTCAGGACATAATAAGCTTGAGCTTCTGTGTCACAACCCCCTTTCTGATTATCCGTTGTATGCCTATAGATTTTACTTTGCGTTTAATAGATGTTGATGCGACAGGATACTCCAGTGTTTTATGAGTGATATTACTACAGTATCTGCTTTCGCAGAATTGTACCTTTTGGGTTTTCTACAAATAGTTCACGTCTTCTTGTTTTCGCATTATTGATAGTTAAATGCGTTTATATAATTACCACTGTTTTGTGATGCCGAATTCATATCTCACATTTGTTTGATACTGTAGATATTTTCTATATTTGTTATTTTTATATTATATGGCTGTTTAAAATGTGGACTTGTTATAATATTATTTGTCTGTTTATTGTTAAACACAAAGCTACACAATGGGCTATCTGTATTCTGCTCATCACAGGTATCGAAACCAGATTTTTAGCGTTATAAATCCTGAGACTTACCGCTGATTCACCGAGAGACTAATGTTATCAAATTTAGCTACTATACTAATAAAAGGCTTGAAATAAGAATACTAATTTATACTTTATATTTTAACCTGTCTTTAACTTATTGTAGTTATTTTTGTTGTTAAAAATAAACAGAAGAGTTTGGCGACGTTGCTCTGGTAACAAACGTTGTGTAATCTTTTTTTTTTCTTTTTTTAGAAGGAAATTGTTTCCAATGACAATATTTTCCAGAAGACAACCATTGCGTTAAAATAGTGACAGCAATACAGGTAGCAGTACCGTCATTTTGAAGCAAACCTCCACTTTTCGCTATGGTTAACCTAAAAAACTTGTGGGTAAACATGTCCTTTGAAACTCAAGTGAATCTTTCCTTCATGAATTGGACTGAAAATTTGAAAGATGAAATTAATACAACAACATCGGTGGAAAACTATTCTGTTCCAGAAGGCGTGCAAGCCATTATGTATATTATGTACACAGCCATTTCTTTCGCTGCGATAGGAGGAAATGGAATTGTGTGTTACATCGTACTTGCTGATCAACACATGCGTACTGTAACTAACTTCTTTATCGTGAACCTAGCAGTGGGGGATTTGCTAATGGCCGTCTTATGCATACCTTTTACTTTCGTTGTTAACTTAATTCTTCACCGCTGGCCATTTGGTACAACTCTGTGTATTGTAGTCACCTATGCCCAAGCAGTATCGGTGTTTATTAGCGCCTATACCATGATAGCTATCAGCATTGACAAGTATATTGCCATCATCAAACCACTAAGACCACGAATGACTAAGCTCCAAGCAAAGCTGCTGATATTCCTGGTATGGATGGTGGCCATCATTACACCACTTCCCACTGCTGTGGTTTCTAGACTTGTAACAACAAAAGACTCAGATGACTACCATTGCACAGAAGTCTGGGATCCTCCGGAACAACGCTACTACTACGGAATGGCGCTGATGACACTTCAATATTTCCTTCCTTTATTGGTCCTCATTTTCACTTACACAAGGATAGCCATAGTGGTGTGGGGAAAGCGAACACCTGGCGAAGCAGAAGATGGTAGAGACCAGAGAATGGCAGCTTCGAAACGAAAAGTAGGTATTTTGCTCTAGTGTTTACATCTTATACGTATTTAAGTTTAAATATGAAATTACCACTGTCAATACAAGATAAGTTTGTATTTATTTATATTAACACAACGAAGCAAACAATTCACTTACTTTGGCTAGGCTATATCTCTGCAATGACTGCAAGGATTCGTTTAATTTTTTATATGCTGACTACTAATCTTCTTCTAGTTTATAATCTCAAATATCGAAGGTGTAGCTGTTACAATGGGTGAGTTTCAGTGGGGCCGATTTTGTACACCATCACGTCGTGTTAAAACAACTCCCGGTAGTGGCCGCATTTTTTGGGGTGCGTGCTTACTTTTTCCTTGGCCGCGACTCACTACCGTGAGTTTTGATTTATAAGAACGTAATAAGAATCTTCTTGTTCTTATTCTGATATAAATAAAATAGTTAAAAAAAAGTTTGGTTGTTATAAATGCTCTTTTCCATGATATAGTTTCCAAACGGATATATACAAATATATACTCATCTTTTTTAAATTAAGAAATCAAAAACATTGAAATCTCAAGCATGCAAGTTATCACACCACATATGATGAAGGTACAAGGAACTCAAGGGTTTCCTGATCTATTCAAACATCGCTGTTATACATTATCATACAGCAAGTTATACATTATCATACGTTTAAAGTGAAATGTTTATTCTGAATAGATATTTTTTTGCGTGGTGAATATAACCGTGCAGATATATTTATGAAGGCTGTAAAAGCATATCTTTACGTGTAATTTTCCTATAACGTTAGCAAAATACAGATAAAATCTTGTTTGAAATAAAACCTTAAATGTTTATTTTCATTAGTACGCCTATTATACGACAGCAAGAGGGGTCCCCAAAGACATCTAAAAACCTCATCACATTTATCAGCGTTACGCCTCAGGTTAGTCTGATAATAAGGGTCTAAGATAATCCTCGGAACCTAACGCAATTACGTTCTACATCCAGCTGCTTCCTTCAATGTCCGTTATTGTTGGAGTGTTTCGTAACCTAAAAGTGTACACTGATAATGGCGCCAATCTACGAATAATTTCAGAGTATATTTATTATAATTTACATGGTGATTTAAATGAATTAAAATGTGAATGGGAATATATTGAAAGCTGAAAGCGCTAAGTATATTAAACATCTGACGTATTTCCACTTGTGCATACAGGCTATATATATACAATTAAAGGCTAATTTTACAGACATTTCTTTTTGTCATCATCAAGATTAACATGAACGGCAAAGTCAAGAGTATTAAATTGATTAATATAACTCACCCTATAAATAGCATTCATTTTTTTTAAATGCTTTATTTACCAATATACCACCAAATTCCTGAAGATGGGAAAGTTTCAAAAGCGCTTAAGGTCTAACTTTTTCAAAATATCTACACACTCACGGATAGAAATTAACCGTCAATCAGTCTTTTATCGATATGAAATTTGAAAATGACATAATTGTTCTGGATTTATAACAACGTTTTTTTAACTATTTTAAATCTATTAAAGAGTTTCTAAACTTGTTTTGGCTTAAAGTTAAACTTACAACAACTTAAACCATACTGAAATGTTATAAATATAATCATAATTACTATTAAGCAAAGCTGAAACTAAATATTTTTTTTTAAATATTGCGATACTGCAAACGCTCAACTACGTAAACTTAAATTTGTTCAATGTTCTATGTAAATCTATGACCGTTTTTTCTACTCAAGAACCTCCAACCACACTATTAATTTCACATATTTATGAAATATTATTTGGTAGATGATTTAGGCTGCATTTTTATGATGAGGGAAGGTTGATTATATACTTCAACAGGCTTTGAATCACTGAATCTTCTGGATGAGAGAATCGGTGGACGACGACATCTTGGGTAAATTGTCATCGCCCATTTATCAGGGTATTGAGGGCTTCCAAGGTTGTTACAGTTCATAGTCAAGTTTCTCTCAATATATAAGAAATATGTATAAACTTAATAATAATAGATTAGGTATAAACTAAGTAAATATAATAAATCTTTCATAAAAAATTAACAGTAGAAACTTAAGTCTTACTAAAAATTTTGTTACCAACATACAGTACATATATTTCTAAAGCTTTCTTTAAACATAGTAATGTATTGATATTTGTATTCAAATACTAAGTAGAATATTCAATATGTCCTTCTATTTCTTTAACTCAAAATAATGTTAATTTCAATGGAGATACTAATTTTCACTCGCACCTTAAAATATTTTATAAAGTTTTATCACTTGAAGATTGGGAAATGTATGTCAAAATGGACTATAATATCTCTGTTGTGAATTGCAATAATTAGAAAAACTTGAAAAACTTAACATTTATACAACTGGAAAGTACACTTTGCAAAAAACATGTAAATGGTGTTGTTGTTTTTTTTTACAAAACTACTAAATTGTCAGGCAAGTTGTAATATTTTGAAAATAAAACATGAGTAAAACAAACATTATTTCTCTTATTCTTTCAACAAACAGAACTGAGATCTTCAGAAACTTTTAAAATACAATAAGAATTCCCTTTATAAAAATAAGTTCGTTCTAATGTTTATCTTAAACAGCACATAGCTACTAGAAATAAAAACTCATACGCAAACATAAAGTGTCGACCCTGCTTCCAGCATCTCACTACCATTTATATCAAGCTTAAGCTACAAACACAGGAATATTTGCTTTAAATTCTGCAAAGAATAAAAAAACTACCCAAAACAGTTAAAGTGCCTTGTGCCCCCCCCCCCATAGAAATGTTGTTACAATATATTCTATATCTACAAAAACATCTTCTTTAGGAAAACGGGAAGTCTGTTATACAGAAACTTAAAGAATACGTGGATGTAATGGAAATATTTACACACAGGAGTCCACATTTATTTAGAATAAACGACATTTTTGTAATAGCCAAAACTAGAAACGTACGAAAATTAAAGAAGCTCTCAGTATAAAGGTAAATAAAAGAAATATCAGCTGATATCAGTAACTAGCAACCAGAAGCATCTGGTCGTTAGTGTTCTGCAAAAAAAAAAACAAGATTCAGCGAAATTTGTGGATATGTACACTTTAAAGTGTACAGTATATTTTTCTTTATCTTACAATTTAAATTAATAAATGGTAAGACCATCGTTAGCCATCATATATGTACATGAAACACTGATGAGTTAGTGGTGTTTACTTTCCTTCAGTATTTCTTCAATATTATGCCACATGAAGGACTCAGAATGGAGCCCGTAACTTTGTCTCAAAGCCACATCGAGAGAAAGAAGTACATATAAAAATAGAATCCTCACACTGCTTAAGCCTCTCCTTCAAAGGCTTCACATGTTGCTTGAAACGTGTCTACAAGTGTCAACTGATTATTTCTTGGAGAATTATCTGGCGGTATACAGCACTAGCAATTTTGCAACCTTACAAATAAATAGCCTCTTGTGTTTGTATAAATTGGAGAAAAAATCATTGCAAGCCTCTACGTAAAACTGCCGAAGAGTTTCACAGTGCCAAAATAATTTAAATTATGTATTAATTTTACTACATTTCTTTTATTTATTTTAACAATTTCGTGGTTGTAGATGATTGTTTGCCATACTAATTATTACAACTAGCATAGACCACAAAACATTTCCGACCAAATTAGTATCTTTATCGTAACAGTACTTCTTTAAATATAACATTTCCATCCCAATACAAACGAATTGTGATCGTAGACAACGAAAT